GCCCCCGGGTGTGGCCGCCCGCGCCAGACACAGGCGGCGGGTCACCGCTGCAGCCGGGGGTGCGGCGCGGCTCCGTGCGCCGAGGGCTGCACACACAGACTGTAAAGTCACGCACAGGGCAGCGCGTGTTTACAGCGAGACCATGTGAGGCAAACCCCCGCTCCTGGGAAGCCTGGAGCTGGCCTGCCCCTGCAGGTTTGTCGGGGTGGGGACCGAAATCCAAGCTAAATTCAGATAAATAAATTACTCCCCAACAGAAAGTCAGTCTTGGCGTGGGCTCTGCGAGTCAGACGATGGCTGATTTGGGAAATACTTCGCTAGAACAGCAGTAGAAATGGATCGTCTGCTCTTACTCCAGCTGCGGTTGTGGCACCCTGGATATTATCCCCCAAACCGCTGTTCCACTGATGCAGCCTTACCCCTTTCATTGTTATTTGTTCTGTGAGAGAAACTATACAAATTGTGTAATAATATTCAGTTGTGATGATGCTCTATTCTTGGGTGAGAAAGTTAAATTTCCAAAACAACCAGTAATCCTGCAGCACCTTGGAGACTAACAAAAATAAAGTTATAGTATGATCTTTCATGGCCAAAATCCACTTCTTCAAATGAGCAGAGTAGAGTGAACATGGCTACCTCCCACAGACTGTTAAATTTTCAAATATACTTTCAAATAGAATTTTCCCAAAATAATGGGAAAATTAATTTACAAAATATATATGCCTTTAAGACAGACTACAAGTGTGACAGTTTCTGGAAAGCTGTTTTATGCTAATTTGACAGCAAAACAATTGTTACTGAGATTTTATTTATAGTCTTTTGGACAAATTCAAGACTAATTTGTTGACCCCATCTACTTTTGGTAACAGTATAGTAATATGAGCAAACATATTAGTGCCAACTGAAAAAACAATAATGATTATGTCCACAGTAGATTGAAGAGTTACAAAGGGATCTCCTAAAACTGTGTGACTGAGCAACAAAAATGTCAGATTAAATTCAAATGTTGATAAAAGCATGTTGGAAACCATAATTCCAACCATACATGCAAAATGATGGGGTCTAAATTAGCTGTTACCACTCAAAAAAGAGATCTTAGAGTCATCGTGGATTGTTCTCTGAAAATGTTTGCTGTGTGTAGTGGCAGTCAAGCTAATAGAAAGATAGAAAATATCACAAAGTCACTATATAAATTACCCACACCTTTAATACTGCACGCAGTAGATATATGAATGGTTAACCGTTGCCCTTATGGGGCCATGAGCCAGCAGTAGTTCCCACTCTGGAACCAGAAGACCCTGGGACCAGGTCCCAGAGCCTCCTGTCCGTCACTGGTTGCAGTAGTCCAAGTCCTGAGGCTGGGAGCCTGCCAGCAGCAGGACTGGGGCTGGGAGCCTGCTTAGCAAGTTAACCAGTTAAAGGTTAATTTAATCTGATGTTTAACTGGTTAACTGATTAATCGGGTTTTACATCCCTGGCATGCATTTTGGTCACTCCATCCTAAAAAAAATATATAACTGGAAAAAGGGTAGAGAAGGGTGACAAAAATGATTAAGAGTATGAGATAACTTTTATTTCATGAGGAGCTATTAAAAAGACTGGGACTCTTCATCTTGTAAAAAAGGCAGTTATTGGGGAGTATGATACAAGTCTATAAAATCATCAATGCTCTGGAGAAAGTGAGTATGGAAGTGTTATTTAGCTCTTAACATAAGAATCAAAGGAAAACCAATACAATTAATAGGCCACGGTTTTGAAATAAAAGGAAATACTTAATACATCTCAAAGTCAACCTGTGGAACTCATTGCAAGGGGATATTGTGATGACCAAAACTACAACTGGATTAAAAAAATACTAAAAGTTTAAGTAGGCTAGGTCCATTAATGGCTAAAAGCCAAGTTGTTCACTGATACAACGTCATGCTATAAGTGTCCCTAAGCCTTCGTCTCCAGGGCTACGTCTACACTGGCATGATTTTCCGGAAATGCTTTTAACGGAAAAGTTATCCGTTAAAAGCGTTTTCGGAAAAGCTCATCTAGATTGGCAGGACACTTCCGCAAAAGCACTTTTTGCGGAAAAGCGTCCGTGGCCAATATAGATGCACTTTTCTGCAAAAAAGCCCGATCACCATTTTCGCGATCGGGGCTTTTTTGTGGAAAACAAATCTCTGCTGTCTACACTGGCCCTTTTGCGCAAAAGTTTTTTGGAAAAAGACTTTTGCCCGAACGGGAGCAGCATAGTATTTCCGCAAAAGCACTGACAATCTTACATGAGATCGTCAGTGCTTTTGCGGAAATTCAAGCGGCCAGTGTAGATAGCTGGCAAGTTTTTCCGCAAAAGAAGATGATGTTGCGGAAAACCTTGCCAGTCTAGACACAGCCCAGATGTTTGGACTGCACAACGGGATATATCAATGGACAATTGTTATGTGCTGTTCATCCCCTTTGAAGAATCTGGCATTGACCACTGTAAGAAGACAGGATACTGGCATAGATAGACCTTTGATCTAACCCTGTGTGGCCATTCTTATGCTATTGGATCTTTTAGTTGATTGCATATAACCACATTGTAATCAAAAGGTCTGCATTATACTATACTAGATCTATTCAGTTTTTAATAATTATATAGCACTGATAATTCCTGATGTAGGCACCTTTTATAAATAAGAATTAAAGCATTGGATACACTGACTATCACAAATTTTACAGGAATGAGAGGATTACAAAGAAAAGTAAATAATGTTTGCTACTCATTGATGTGAAAAATTGCCAGAGTGAATAATTTAAAATGTAATTTCAATCTTCACTCACATAGACCTTGACTAGACTAAAAAAAAGTTTTCTTTTTTCAATTGAGTTAGCACAAAGTGGTTTAGCTCAACTGAAAACTGGGCTTAAAACCAATACTAGACAGAATGTAACAATCTAGATCAGTGGTGAAATTTTCAGCTGAACTGAACTAGTTTAATTGAGCAAACTCAAATTCTAGTTCACACAAAACCATTGTGATTATATATAGGCCAATTACTGTTAACCAGTTAAGAATCCAATTCTGTGATGCTGTGTCTACATTGGCACCCTTTTCCGGAAAAGGGATGTTAATGAGACCAGTCGGAATTGCAAATGCTGTGGGGGATTTAAATATCCCCCGCGGCATTTGCATGAACATGGCTGCCGCTTTTTTCCGGCTCGGGGTTTTGCCGGAGAAAAGCGCCAGTCTAGACGGGATCTTGCGGAAAATAAGGCCTTTTCCGGAAGATCCCTTATTCCTACTTTCAAGTACTTTCAAGTAGGAATAAGGGATCTTCTGGAAAAGGGCTTATTTTCCGCAAGATCCCGTCTAGACTGGCGCTTTTCTCCGGCAAAACCCCGAGCCGGAAAAAAGCGGCAGCCATGTTCATGCAAATGCCGTGGGGGATATTTAAATCCCCCGCTGCATTTGCAATTCCGACTGGTCTCATTAGCATCTCTTTTCCGGAAAGGGGTGCCAATGTAGACACAGCCTGATTGTGCTCTGGAGTAACTTTTCTCTCCATAGGTCCATTGAAATCAACGGTACTACTTACAAGAAAAAAGCTACTGCAGATCTTGATTGTGGGATTATTTGTTAAACCAACAATTCTTTGAGATGCATATTTGTAAAAAGTATTTAATAAACTGGTATTTTATATTGGTACTCAATTTTAAAAGATTTGATACAACATGATACCTTGCCTTCTCAGGGCATTCAGTTTTTATGCATGCACAACTCCCATGTGCATTCAGAGGAATTATATATTTCTATCAAGATATGAGCAACTATATTACAACTCTTGGAAAGCAAAGTGTAAAAGCTGATTGAAAATACGTCAAGACGAATAACATGTTTGCTCAGTGGTGCTGGAATAATTTTTATAATGGAGGTGCTGTAGGTAGAATTGGGTTGGTTATTAATACTTAAAGCTATGGGTGTCCAAGCATCTCCAGTTCCAGCACCTATACCTTTGTGTCATTGTAATGCTACATTAAACATGCTACAGTACCCACACAATAAGTAAGGCACTATGTTTCTTCATAATTAAAGCTGATATATACAATATGTATGAAGTATTGATTGCTTGTTATTTAATACTTTAATACTATAATATCTACAAAGAGCATTTGCCCTAGTAAAATAGTAAACTACTAATCTTTCTAGGGTATTATTAAATATTAACCCATTAACTGTTGGTATTACATTATGCTATATTTCCTCCATTATATCATAGAATCAAATAAGATATGGAAAAGATCTATTAGCTGTAGTCCCTAACCTTTCACTTCAAAATTATTTGTTGTACATTTTTTGGTGCTAGTTCTGTCTAGTTTTAAATGTAGCAAGGATGGGGCTCAACTGCTTCTGTTGGGAGATTATTTCACAGTCTATTAGACTCCCACCCGGATAATGCAATCAGGTAAGTAAACACACTTCTACTTTTATGAAGAGCCCCATTGCAGTCAATAGGACACCCCATAAACACACCCATCCTGTCCAGAGCTCATTGCAGTTTCAAGGTCTGCATGTGCTAAAGAGCCTGCTGTAAATAAATGACTGTAAAATCCCTAGCTTCATGCAAAGATAGACTGTAAACTCTCAGTAGCATCCCTTTTCCGTTTTTTATTTCTTATTTCCTTGATTTATTAGTATAAAAGCTTTTTTTGGTCTGGTTACAATCCCTCACATTCATTGCTTTTTCTCTTACGCGTAAAGGGTTAATTAAGAACAAGAGTTGGCTGCTGCGGCTAGAGAATTCTGGGAACTCGAGTTCTGGCGTCTGCAGCAAAAGGTTTAGTTTGGCGGGCGGACGTGCTCTCCTCTCGTTTCAGTAAGTGTTTCGTTCATTCTTCAGAAATGTCTTCTATCTAACGCATGTGGTGTATGGATGCTAGCGGAGTTGTACATGTGTAGGTTTTGCAGTGAAATATTTTAAAGAAACAATGTTTTCCGAGACAAATTTAAAAGAGGAGACTTATTCTGAGATCTCAGAGGTGGTATGGTGGCCATGTGCTTCGACTATGCTGTTTGATCGTCCTTAAAATGGCTTTTCATATGCATTGTTGTAGAGACAGCATTTTGAATGTCAAACCATGTTCACTGTGTTTTTGAGAGTCTTCCATTTCAAATTAATTACTTGCATGAGTGAGATGTGCAAGATTTGTTCCTATATCGCTATAACAAACTCGTGTGGGTGCCTTTAATTTAAAAATTGTGGATGTAGCATTTTAATTATTATAAGTGCATTTTTGCTTCCTCTGCTACTCGTTTCATTATTTATAAGGGCGAAATAATGTTTATGTGGTCTTACATAAAATTTAAAATAGTTGTTCTTAATGTTGTTCAAAATTGCTTCTCAGAAACCAGAAATGTATTTTTCCCCCATTCATTATGCACACTTACCGGCTTGTTACTCTAGTATTATAAATGCTACTCTCTTTTTTGGTTTTAAACAAGAAGGGAAATATTTGCTTGTTTAAAAATGAATATTAAACTTTTGATCTGTCTTAGTTTGGTCTTTAACCTACTTTTTATTCTTTTACCTCAATCTGCAAATTTTGTGGAGTACCAATATTGGTATTGTCTTAAATTCTTTAAATTTAGCTACAGAAGCTTGAAATTAATGCTTACATTTGCTGATATTTGTTATCTGTTTTTAAGTATGCAGGAAGGAAACTGCTATTTTTCTTTCCTTTATTCGTGTCTGGGCCTTATTCTGTAGTCTTTACTGACGTCTGGGTCCTGAAAGCATTCTCAACTCTCACTGACTGTAATTAGCATTACAGGTATTCAGTACCTCTTGGGATGAGGCCACCAAAACTCACATTGATTTTTAGTACTGTTTTTTCAGAGTCTCCTCCTTAAATTATGATGCAGAATATGGCTTCAGGTGACTACCTGTACTTTACAAAGAATTTTGAGGCTAGGTATAACTGTTAATGACAGATTGATCTGAGTTCCCTTTGAAAAGCCAATTCTTTTTTGCCCTGTGGGAATCATTTTTTCTCATGTGTTGCTTCAGCCCTGTCACCTTTCTCTTCATTTTGCTCAGAAAGCCCTAGACTGGAACTAAGGAGATCTGGGTTCTGTTTCCAACTCTGAGACTGGCCTGCACAGTGACATGTTAGTTTTTGGTGCCTCATTTTCCCCCTTCAGAAAATGGGGATCATGAAATTGCCCTCCTTTATAAAAGTGCTTTGAGGTCTAGAGCTGAAAAAAGCCCCAGGTAAGAGGTAGGTGTCAGTAGTCACCTGATCCCCATTGCTCTTCACATGAAGTTTAAACTCTGTGGCCTTGTTTCCAAGATACAGGGCTTCAGCCTAACTTTTCATAGGTTTCTAAATTAACATCCATATTTAGATACCTAATTAAGTGCTCTGATTTTTTTTTTTCCAGAGGAGTTTGACATCCAGAAACTCTCGGTGCAGTTTGATAGAAGCTGTGAGTGCTCAGTGCTTTGAAAATAAGGCTATTTATGTAGATCCCCTTGTTTCAGTGAGACTGTTTGTGTGTGTAAAATTAAACATATGCAATCGTGTATGTATGTGAATGGCTGAACTTCTGTCAAAGTATTCTCAACTCAGATTTTGTTGAAAGTGGAAAAACAATGTGTTTTTTAAAATTACGTACCTACTTAGTACATTTCTCAAACAACCAGTAATGCAGGACATGCAGGCCTGACATCACTGTATGCAAGAACCGAATATAATTTTTTTTTTAAAAGATAGTGATATTGTCTCAAAAGGACTGTTGATTACAAATCATGTTTTGCCCACCTGAGAGGCCATTCATATTAAAATTGCATAGATCTTCATACAGTTATTGTCTGTCCCTCTTGTATTCTTCAATAAGCAAAGAAGTTGTTAATGACATTAACATCATTGTTAGGCTTCAAAATAAACAAGCAGTTTATATTTCCCTGAGCTGTTTTTTCGGAATGGCTGCAGAGGCAAGCTGACATCACTGCATCAGTTAAACATTTTTAAGATTGTCTTCAGAACCTTTGCATTAGAAGAAGATGGCAGCCACTCCAAAGAAGTACCATGGATCCAGTCCAGTTCAACTTTTGAATATTTAGTCACATAAAGATGCCTCTAGTGATAGCCCTTTTACCAGAGATTAGGAAGTGATGCCAGGCTGTAGGTTACTTGTCTAACCCTACCTGTCTGTGATTTGACGGCCTGACCATATATTGTTGAGGAGTCAAGAAAAGGAAAGGTGCTAGGCCCTGCTTTTCTCTCTCAGATTCTCTGTCTAATGGGACTTCACTGTTCTTTGACCTTGCTGAAAGGTCTGTGGATTCCTTACTCAGCCCCACCTGCATGAAGGGGTAGAGAGGTGAGTAGGTTGCCACCTCTCCCTGCTGCCTTTCATCTTCCACCTGTGTTCCTCTCAGATTCATACATCTAACAGGGGGTGAGTTGTCTCTGCTATACCCTAATACTCATTGTTCTGGCCTTGCAGTAGTATGTGGAGGAATAGTCTTCTGGCTTCTGCCATCCGTTACTTGCCTTATGGAAAGGCCTAGGTGTGCTTGTCTGCAACCCTTTCATCTCCTTCTTTTAAAAATGCTGAAGAATAGTTGTCTTTACTACAATAACATGTAAAAGTTTTGTGATAATTATATTACTTGTGTCCAAGGATACGTCTACACAGCAGGGCTAAAGCCGAAATAAGCTACACAACTTGAGCTACGTCAATTGTGTTGCTTAAGTTGAAATAGCTTATTTCAGCTTTTGGCACTGTCTGCACAGCAGGAAAGAGCACTCTTCCGACTTCCCTTACTCCTCATAAAATGCGAGTTACAGGATTCGGAATAAGAAGTCCTCCAGTTCGACATTGTTTTGACCTTGCTGAATAACATCAGTTATTCCAAAATAACACTGCTGTGTAGAAGTGCCCCAAGACTCCTTTGGCCTTGTTCCTCATTACACCGTCATGGAATGTAGGTTCTCTCTCAGTAACATAGTCTTTGCTGATCAAACCATCCTTACAGTTCAAGTCCCACCCACACTGGGAGTGGCCCAGATAGTTGCCCCAGGGATGGAGCAGTGGAGTTAAGGTGGCTTACTCCTGCCCTGGCCCTGCATCACTCCTGAAAGCAGCTGGTATGTACAGCAGTGGCTCTTGCACTCCTGGGGACAAATATTGGCACTGTTCTAATGACAGAAAGACAGTTTCTTGGGAATTTCTCTTTTTATAATGGAAATTCCTAGATGGCATTGAGCCAGCATGGTGACTCTCTTCTTTCTCCTGGCTTCCTGGTGAGGGGCATGGTTAGCAGTAGGGGGATGGGGTGGAAAAAGGACTGAACAATATTGATTAGGGATGTAAAAAGCATTTTATTTTGTAAACATGAAACTGTTCACATTTTCAGTGGTTACACATTTACATGCCTGGGTGGGAGGAGGTTCCACAGGGAGCCAGCTTTTCAGCATGCTCCCTGTGTGTACCGGCTCCTGTCTGCCCCCTGCGCTGCTGCCTCTGTATTAGAGAGTGCTTGCAGGAAGCTTGCTTAAAAGCCGGCTCCCGCCAGTTTCCCACACCTCCCTTCACCTCTGATCAGAGGCACTTGTGGTGGGGGGGAGGGATTGCATGTAACTATGAAGGTTAACCAATGAGCCCAGGCTCACCAGTTAACCATTTAACTGTATATATTATCACATCCCTAATACAGACTGTTAGTGTATTACTGACAAGGCTTTTGAGTTAAATTGTTAGGTCTCACTATGGCTCCACTGGACTATTTCAGCATATTCCAGTATTACCAAGGGATAAAGGACACCTTAGCCAAACCTTTCTTCATAGAAATCCCTCCACTCTAGATACCATGTGTGAGGAAAGATGTCAGGTACTTGCTATGCCGCTTATGAATTTCCCCCTACACCAGTGATTCTCAAAGTGCGGTCCGCAGATCACTAGTGGTTCAGGGCTTGAGCTAATCCCCCCCCCCCCCCCCACCAGCAGGGAGCATGCCAGCACTCTAGCCTCTTGTCTGCCAACCCCTGACCCCACCAGGCCTGCTCAAAAGAGACAGAGAGCAGAGCCATGCTGTGTTTCTTGCCTCCCTCCTGCCTAGCTCAGCTGGGAGAATGGCGGCACAATTAAGGGCTTTCCCTGTGGGAGTGAGTGAATGCAAAGAGAGATCAGAACAAGCATCTCTGTGCTGCGTTTCTTGCCTCATTCCCACCAGCATAATGACAGCCTCCTTCCAGACCCTGCACTGCTGCCCAAGGTCCCAGGCCCCTCCAAGGCCCTGCACTCCCTCCTCCTACACCCCTCTCCAGGCCAGAATTCTCTCCTGCACCCATACCCCTCCCAGACTCTGCACCCCAAACTCGTGTCCCAAGTCATAACCCAAATCCCTGCACCCCTATTCCAGGTTAGACTCCCCTCCCAGTCCCTGGACCCCTCCTGATCCCACTCTGTTGCCCCAGGGCACAATCCCCTTCTTCACCCAAACTTCCTCCCAGATCCCACACTACAATACCTTACCCAAGTTCCTTTGTGCACCCAGCCTCCATCCCAGACCCCTGCACTTCCTCCATTAATAATGGAAGAGTGCAGCTCTTGGTCACTTCCCAAATTCTTGGAGTGACCCCCATCAAAAATTATTGCCCATCCCTGCTCTGCGTCCTCTCCCTTGGCTAGACATTCTTCCCCAAGCTCCCTCCTGTACCTGCCCTTGCTCCTGCACCTCCCCTCTGGCCAGACACCTATCCCCACCCTGCTCCTGCATCCACCATTGCTTTTGCACCCTCCCTCTATGCCACACACTGTACCCGCCCTTGCTCTTGCTCCCTCCCCACTGGCCAGACACCCTAACTCCCAGCCTGCTTCTGCACTGTACCTGTCACCCAGACCTCGCATCTTGCACCCTATCTCCCGCCCAGATCTTGCACCCCATCCCAATGCTGGCAGCCCTGTCCCGCACGCTGAACCCCTCATTTTTCTCCACCACAGAGCCTAAGGGTGTCCACAAAATCCATTAACTCTGGAACCCCAGAAAAGTAAATCTGGTCTATGGGAAGCTCTGAACCTCAGTCTTTCCTGTCCCTTCCCCTCGCCATGTGGGACTGGAGCACCACATGAATGAGGTTTCTTAGTTGGGGGCCTCATCAGTGAGGGTTGAGAGTTTTTGAAGGAGGTTTTTTTGCTTCTCTCTTGTGTGATCCCCAACTGGTTTTTCTGTGGAGAAAACATTGAAACCTTTCGTGTTGGACATAAATTAATGTTTTACTATATTTAAAATGAAGTTAGTTTATCAAACATGAGAAAGTTAAAAAGCTTAATCTCTTTAATAATTTAAATTAAACCATTCTCCCTAGCTGCACTAGCAGAATGTCCGGGGTGTAATTATGTAATTAATGGTGAGTTTCCATTAGCAACTGATGGTCTGTGGAAAGGTATGCATTGAGCCAAGTAGTCCATGGGCCAAAAAGTTTGAGAACCACTGCCCTACACAGTGGGAATCATCAGAAGCCAAAACTATGCATCTGCTATGCCCTGAAAGTGCTGCAAAGGGAACCCAGTGGCGTAAAAAATCTGGACTGAGATTTTTATTGACTCAAATGTGAATCCATAATTGTTACGGATTATTTATCTCATTGGTGCAGTGTAGTCAATAGGGCAGTGGCCTGGGGGGCTATGCATCAATTTAGCTGGAGGGTCTCTTTCTCTTCTCATTGTGTATCTGGCTACTGAATATTCCTTCTCTCAGATCAGCATCCCTGTCCTGGTTTCAGCCTCTGTATCAAATACTAATGGAGTGACTTTTGCAGAATAAATCTTTAAAGCGTGTATTTCAGTCTTTGTGGGTCTTGTGAACCTTGGTCTTAAAGTCTGTGTTGTTCTGCTATGAGAATCTATCCGCTGGAATGGGAACAAGCTTATTGGATATAACTCAGTTAGGAATAAGAGATAACTGTCTAATATATTATTTTCTCTAGATATGTTTTAAAAAACTTCCTGCATCCTGCAGGAAAAGTTTTCATCCTGTCACCCCTCCACGCGGCAGCGCCGCACAGCTGGGGACCCTGCATGGCATTTCCCTGGGTTCTGGGGAAAAGTTGCTTGGAACCCACAGTCAGCTGAGGAGTCTCCAACTGACCCTGGGCTCTGCATGGCATTTCAAATCAGCAGCACAACATGGAACCCAGGGACAGCGGGGGATTCTGAGTCCCCCGCTAACCCAGCGCTTCTTAAGGGCGCTTCCTTCATGAGAGCAAAACTAGGCAGTTACTATGTGGAGAGAAAGTAGCAGTGTTTTTGAGTCAGGCTTTCAAGAAGCAAACTGAATATATTTCTCATAACATTTGGGTATGATGTACATGCCCTGTCCTTCTGATTGAAAGTCTTCCATCAGCCAGTCACAAGTATGGTAAGGTCACTTTTTAACCATTAGAACAATTTACTAATAGTCATGGTGGATTCTCCATCACTGGGAATTTATAAATCACGTTTGGATATTTTTCTAAACAAGACAGTCTAGGAACAATTTGGGGGAAGTTCTGTGCCCTATGTTGTACAGGTCACTCTTGATGATCACAATGGTCCCTTCTGGCCTTAGAAGCTATGGATTTTTAGGGGAGACTAACAGCGCTTTTTTTACACCTTTACATAGAAGTTCTGGTCTTCTATAAATGGAGCTTGTGTGTATGCTACAGCAAAACCGCTTCCTCGGACCCCAAGGACTGCTGGCCCTGCTCCTGGGGAGCCACAGCTTGTAACCTGTGGCTGGGGGGGCTGCACCAAACAAGGGCACCACTAGATTGACTAGCAAATAGATCTTCACTGATCCAAAGGGTCTTTGCCTTGGACATTTTCACATTCTTCAGAAACCTGTTTTGGTTACAGGACTAAAATGTCTGGTGATTAATCGCAGCTTGGTTACTAGTGAACATTTATCCATGTTCTAAAGCCATTGCATAATTTGGTACATTTGATAGTCTGGTAAGGAGAGAATCAAGACTGGTGCAGAATGTTTGTGCTTATGTGCATTATCAGAACTCAGTGGAAACCTTCTATGATGATAGTCCTGTGCTTGATTAAGACATTGCTAGTTATCATTACCTTGCTTTCTTGAGCACCACATTATAAACAAACTGCAGGACAACAATCATGTTGTCCTTTGCATTGAATACCTCTGCTGACCAAAGGCATTAACTGAGGAATGCACAGGTTGTTGCTTTATTAATCTGAATACTATGACTTTGGTTGTTTTGCACAGACTGATGGCGGATCGAGTGCTTGTGATTGGCGGTGGAGGCAGAGAGCATGCCCTGGCTTGGAAGTTAGCACAGTCTCCACATGTAAAACAAGTGCTAGTCGCTCCAGGAAATGCAGGAACAGCCAATAATGGGAAAATTTCAAATTCAGGTAATAAACTAAAAGGAGAACCCGAATTATTATTTTTAAATGTGTAGTGCCAGTAGTTGAGCCTAAACTGGTTCATTGATAGATGTAGGGTTCTGTTTATTAGTGTTGTAGGACTCTGTCTGTGTCAGACCCTTCATTCTCATAAAGGTAATGTTTGAATAGGGTGAGAAGTAGGGATATAAGTAACTAGTTGACTATCTGATAAGCATAAGTTTATCAGATGGTCGAGTAGTGACTTTACTAGTCGCTCCCCTATTCTGCTCCTCTCTACCCCCCCGGGCTTCTGCTCCTCTCTACCCCCCGGGCTATCTCTGTTAGAGGCAATGCAGGGGGAGGAGCAGGAGCAAGCTTAAAAGCCGGTTCCCCTAGCACTGTCTCCAGGGAGCAGAGGAGGCAGAGGCACAATGGGGAAGCAGCATGAGCAGGGACTACTTCAGTCCTGGCTTACACCAGTTCCTTCTGTGGTGCTTCAACCTTTGAAATGTAGCAAGAGCCCTCCAGGGCTTTTGCTACATTTCAAAAGCAGAAGCGTTGCGGGCAGCATGAGGCAAGTGGGGAGTCCAGCATTAAGACTAATACAGTATGTGTATAATATATACATACATGTTGTATATATGTTTGTACAGCATGTGACTAAAATCTGCTTTTATATAATCCCCCCCCCCCATGGAAACATGAGCATTACAAATACATTTTGTATATAGAATAAATATTCTATAACAGTGATTTTTCAAGTTTTTTTCATTTGCGGACCCCTTAGGAAATCTTGGACAGAGTCTGTGGTAAGGATGTTAAGAAGCGGGTAATTTGCTAATCCTGTAGTCCAGGGGTTCTCAAACTTTGGTGATATCGAGACCCCCCCTCTATGTTGCTCGTGATCCCCCGGGGGGTCGGGACCCACAGTTTGAGAAACGTGGGTGTAGTTGATAGAATTTTTATCGACTACACAATTAGTCAATGAGGATAAGCGCTCTGTCCTGTCTCATGCCAGGTCTAGGAGCTACCCCTGCTGTGGCTTTGGAGTTTAAATGTAGTAAGAGCTGAGCACACAGGCAGAGACGCAGTGGGGGTAGGTCCCAGACCTGGCGTGAGCTGGGACTGAGCAAGCCTGGCTCAGTCCCAGATCTGGCATGAACTGGGACCTACCGCTGCTGCACTTCTGCAGTTTAAATGTAGAGGTTGGACATCCTCTTATCCAGCACCTGACTAGTCCTGAACCAGGGAATTTGCCAGACTAGAGATGGATCCCTGGCTGCTGACCCTGCCAGCTAGGGAGGGTGGAAGAGAGGTGCAGGGACTACCTCCAGCCTCTGCTGGGCTGACTGCTCGGTCACTGACCCCACTGCTGCTGCGCCAGCTGGATTGCCTGCCGGGCTCCAGCAGCCTGCACTGCCATAGGCTCTAGCCCTGCCCTACCACAGGCTGCTGGGGGCTGTCTCTTGCCCTGGTTGGCTGCCAGGGGCTTGAGCTCTGGTCCCACTTCTGCAATCTGTCCGGCCCCACATTGCTTTGGGCTTCTGGGGCTTTCTCCAGCCCTGGACTTGTTCCCTCTGCCAAAAGTGTGGACTCCTGCCCTGCAGCAGCCCACAGGCTCTGGCCCCGACTGTGGTCCCACTTACGGGGCTGTCACTGACCTGATCCTGCGCTGCCAGGGACTGCCCCAATCCAGTCCCAGTGCTGCAAGCTGTCAGGGGCTGCCGCCAACTCCTGCCCTGTCCTGCAGCTTCACCCTGGCCTCTCCTGGATTGCCCTCCTGCCACTAGGCTACCGGGGGGTTCTCTAATCCAGGAACATCTGTGGTCCGATGTTGCTGGACCAGAGAATTTCAGTTTTGGAAGGTGTAACCTGTACTAAAAGCTGGGCTGCCTGCCCACTTGGCTCTTAGTACATTTAAACTGCAGAGGTGCAATGGGGACAGGACCCAGCATGAGCCAGGACTGAGCCTGGCTGCTGCCCAGCTGGAGCAGTCTCTGCCCGGGCCCACCGCAGGCAGAGACTGCTTTGTGGCACCCTCCCCTCTTTCCACCCCGTGCTGCTGCCTCTATCTGGAGGGGGACAGGTGGCACTGCAGAGATGGTGCTGGGGGGAACCGGCTTTTAAGCCAGCTCCCCCCAGCACCAGCTCCTGCTTCCCCAGAGGCAGTGGAGGTGAGGGGGAAAGAGAAATGTGAGTATTTGACTCAACTAGCTGATAAGCCTAGAATTATCGATTAGTCGACTACTCACTTATATCCCTAGAGACTGTTGATTCCCAGAAGTCTGTGGACCACATGTTGAAAACCACTTCTCTATAACTTTTATTTGCAGCTGAGGATTCAGTCAAAGAAATGCCATATTTATTTTTCTCTGTCTTATTTGAACATTTGTGGTGTCATTAGCCAAAGAGAACAAATCTATTACTTGTCTTCAAGGGTGAGGGGAAGGGAATGAGCATTCATGTGGAAATCATGTGATCTCATTCCATGCACGCTATTAAACGAAGATCTTTGTACCCATGTTAAATCAAGTTAAAGCCAGTTCACATGAGATCCATATGATTAAATTAAATACTGTTACAAGAATTAATACACTTTTTTTTCTATCACTTTCCCAGTAAAATATGTAACAAGATGATACATCTACATACTGGGAATTCCGGCCCCAGTCCAGGAGAGCATGAACATGATTTTTAAATACTAGACTAGTCCCCTCAGACACCGGTTCAAGTACTCTGCTGGCCTGGGATCTCCTTGGATGTGTGTTAAGGGATAAATCCAAGCCCCTTCATAGATAGAGTGACCGGATGTATATTTCTGAGTAGGGTGAATTCATATTCAGTGGCCTGGGGAGGAGCATTTATCCCACTTCCCCCATTCTCCTTGTATTTCTATAGAACCAAGCCTTGTTGCTTGGACCAGTCACTGGGTCTAGATTTCAGCACATGTGAGAAAATAAGAAACAATTACACAGAGGTACATGAGCTTTATAAAGCATGGGGGTCAGCCTCTTTTCCGATGTATGTTCGTTGGAATGTGTTACCATTAACTTCAGTCTCATCAAGGTTTGGGCCTGGATGCCTATTCTTTTCTCCCTTTGGTAGTGATGTACAGCAGGATGCACAAGATGTCCTTTAATTATCATTAAAATCTCATGTCTCATATTATTTTCTGAGGGAAATAATGCAGATTAAAAAAAATAAATTTTCTCTTTCACAAATACTTTATAGTTCTATTCCAGTTTCAAAACACTTGTCTCACAAAAAAGTGGCTTCATGGGTAACTTATTTTGTAAGTCATTGAGATACAAAAAGATATTACATCTTTTTAAAAAAGTAAAATGAGTTTCCCAAACTTTAGTAATAGTGGTCAAAATATTCAAACCTGGATGTCTGAAGTGAGACTTCCATCTCCATATTTAGGTACCTGAACAAAAGTGCTTTGTTTTCCAACCATGCTGAGCTCCTTCAGCTTCATTGTGTTCACTGGGATTGTTGAGTATAATCCAGTGATCTGGCCACTTTTATTTAGGCATCTGAATTTAGAGTTAGGAGTCTAAATTTAGGCACCTAGGTTTGAAAACTCTGGCTTGTGTTCCTTTCTTCAGGGCAGAATACAATAATATTACCTTTCAGCCTACACCCTCAGGAAAATAATGTTGCATAGTGAACTGATGCATTTTGGATTGGTACATGAACAAAATGACACATTTGTTGTTATACTTCATTGCTTGGGGACGTTTGTACAGACTGTGGATATTCTGCTAATATTTTATATGTTTGTAACATCTGTTTTTAGCTGGGTCCTGTAGGAAAACAATACACTAAGACAGTGTTTCCCAATCAGGGTTCCGCAGAACCCTGGGGTTCTGCAGACCGTCCTCAGGGATTCCATGAGAAATCATGGAATAAATAAAGAAATAAAGAAATTACTTACAATGTAAGCTGACTATATATGTATAACAGCTCTTTACAAATACATTTTCTTGGCAATAATTTAGCAGTAATTGAATTGCGCTCCCCGTTGTCAACTATTTCTGGCCAAGCAAACGTTTTCATACGTAGAGGATCCTTAGGATATGAAAAATTATTTTAGGGGTTCCTCCATGGGAAAAAGGTTGGGAATCACTGCACTAAGAAGTAGTGTCTTGATTTTTTTTTTTGCCCTTTCTCTTCTCCCCTCCCAATAGCTAGATACCTGAAGTTAGAGCATATCCCAGGTTATTCTTATCTGTGCCAAGTCTGGGACATAGAATTAGAAACCTATAATCAGGTCCAGCTATCTGAATATAATCCTGTGAGTTTGTTTTTTGTGGCATCTAAAATACCACAAAACCCTCACCCATCCTGCAAACATGCAGCACGGCACTCATGTTATTAATGCTACATTATGAAAAAAGCTTAACGCAAAATATCCTAGGACTAAAGAGGATTTATGATTTGCTCTCTGTTTTTTCAAATAATGAGAGTAACTCCAGACTACTGTCACTCCCCTGACAAATGATTGGGCTGTCTCAGAACTCTGTGAGTTTACATGACTCAGTCCACTGAAGACCTTTGATTAATTTATTCTTGATAAAAATCCTGGAATAACATTGCTTTTTTGCAGAGCTTTTATCACACAGTGTGATGTTTATTAGTCTCTTGAAAGTTTCTCTTTTCTATTTAATATGTAAATCTTCTGTTCCTCATTATACTGTTTAAATTTCTCTTGAATCTTTTGACAGACATCTCAATCAGTAATCATGCTGCTCTTGTCCAGTTCTGCCAAGACAATGAAATTAAACTTGTGGTGGTTGGCCCAGAAGTTCCTCTTGCTGCTGGTAAATTCAAAATAAATTATCAAAGTTCCACCCACTTTATTGCCACGTTCATGGAATTGTGGGTTTTAATGTATTGCTTCAGATGTGCTAGAAAAGTTACCATTGCTGAGGATAGTTGTTTGTTTATTTAGAGGCTTTTTGTGGCACTATGATATCTGAACATCTTGTAAACATTAACTGATTTATGCTGTGGAATAGGCAGGTATTCATATTCCTATTTTTCAAATGTGGCACTGAGGCCCAGAGTATTCATGGTGTTAGTGTCAGAATATTGACAATATTTACCATGTTTTTTAAAGTTCATAGGATTTGTGGGCGGGCACAGCATCTCTAAAAATTAGGCTGTAATTGAATTGCATGAAGTCATGCAGATGGTCAGGAAATCTCCTGATATAACTTTCTGTGCTGAATGAATGTTTTCGGTGTATTTTTTTGTTTTGTTTTGTTTTGTTTCATTTTGAGGGTCAGTTTCATATCTTAGGGGGACAGGAATTTTCAAGGTTCCCCTTGAAACTTAATGGAATATTGGCCGCCTTCTGTACCTGTTGAAGTTCATTGGGAACAGATGCTGGCCATTGTTCCCTGAAGTTCCAGGTGGTTGTGTTCTGGTGAGATGCACATTTCTGAAGGTTCTTGTACAACTAGTGTCACATTTATGATGTCCTTAACTGTTCTGATCTTTGCTTTTAAGTGCTTGGATTTTGTAAATGATGTGTCAGTGTTGTCATTTGACAGCTTTAACTAGCGTTTTAAGTGAAGTTTTTTTGAAAATGACTGACTGACTGACATAGGAGTCAGTATATACAGACGTATCTACTGTGTGTTTACCTTTTCTTTTTGAGTCTCTCACACAAAAAAATGCTACCTGACATGATATTCTCCACCAATGATTACCATGGACTTTTTGGCTGAGGTCTGTAATAAAGGAGGAAAGGAGTTGTATCTGTTAAAGTGGTGGTACCACAGTTACTTGGTGCAACAAGTTCTGACCCAGGGGTCCTAAAGCCCAGATCATCCCCACTAGTAACATCAAACACTGCCATTGAAGTCCATTTGGCAAAAAGGGCCAAAAGTCCCATGATGTATCCAGTACATGGCACAGTGTTTCTAGCTGTTACTAATGTATCAAAGGGGTTAATAAAGATGTTGCTTTATATAACTTGTAACTTAAATAAACTGGCTCAGTACTTGAATTATAACTCTTAAATATCTTTATTGCTAGGCATTGTTGATGACTTGACAGGAGCTGGGGTGAGATGTTTTGGTCCTACAGCAAAGGCAGCTCAGCTAGAGTCCAGTAAGAGTTTTTCAAAAGCTTTTCTGGACCGACATGGTATCCCAACTGCAAGATGGAAAGCATTCACCAATCCTAAAGAAGCTTGTAATTTCATTACCAGGTTAAAAAAAAATCATAATTTCTCTTTTTTTCTCTTACAGTAGTGTGTTCACAATATTTCTAAAAATAACTCTGCAAAAATAGCATCAATATTGGTTCTACATTTACTGCTCTTATATGACAATTCAACTGCTCAGATTATAAAGAAAAATATTTTTTTCTTCTTGCTAATCATGCAAACCCATATTGGGATCTGACAATCATAAATGAGTTTTCCTATTCATGCTTGATCACCAGTAATTCTGTAACTGAACCTTCGTTAACAATTCTGTTGATGATCCACTAGTCAGAAGTCACTGCCACTCACTCAGTAACAGTATTGGTCTGCAGTGCTAATAGACATAAAATGTGCTATTCTTCTCTGTCAGAAAAGTAGCATCATATGACAGCGGAAAAGAAATGGCAACCGGAAATAGTGCAGTGGAGTGGGTTTACACGGGAAGACACTTGATTATATGTGTGTTATTCAATTAGAGTAAAATAGTTACTGGGATATAGTGAATGTAAGAGCTCTTATTTTCAGTCTTCAAAATCAATGACAATTGTAGGAGGACTGGACTTGAAAATGTATCAGAAGCTGGCAGGTTGTTGTGGAATCCCTCAATCACTCTCTCTTTTTTTTTGAAGTGCGGCCTTCCCTGCCCTGGTTGTAAAAGCTAGTGGTCTGGCTGCTGGGAAAGGAGTAATTGTAGCTACTAACAAAGAGGGAGCCTGCAAAGCTGTGCATGAAATCATGCAGGTGAGTTGACCTGTTACGTAAAGATGGAAAATTCTGATGCAAAATGTGTGTTTATTAGTAAAGATGGCGAAACCTCAAAGGCATTTTTGTTGTTTTACATGGAACGTGCATCAGCCTAACACCATTTATAGATTAATAGAAAATGTAGGCCTGGAAAGGACCTTGAAGTAAGCAAGTCCAGCTCCTTATAGTGAGGCAGGACCAAGTAAAACTAGACTATCTCAGAAAGGTGTTTTGTCCAACCTGTTCTTAAAAAACCTCCAATGATGCAGATTCCACAACCTCCTTTGGCAGCTTGTTCCAGTGCTTAATGATCCTTTCACCTAGAAAGATTTTAATAATATCTAATCTAAATTTCACTCAGCTTTCATTGAATATAGAGAACAGTTGATCACAGTTCTGTTCATAAAATCCCGTAACAATTTGAAGACTTTTATCAGGTCCTTCCTCTTCAGTCCTTTTTTCTCAAGACTAAACATGCCCAGTTTTTTAACCTTTTCTAATAGATCAACTTTTCTAAACCTTTTATCGTTTTTGTAGTTCTTCTCTGGACTCTCTCCACTTTGTCCACATCCTTTTTACAGTGTGGTGCCCAGAATTGGACACAGTATTGTAGCTGAAGTCTCACCAGTGCCAAGTAGTGAGGGACAATTACATCCAGTGTCTTTCATACAACAGTGCTGTTAATACACCCCAAAATATTTGCCTTGTTTGCTGCTACATCACATTGTTGATTCACTGTAACCTACTGGTCATTTTTAGCAGTAGTACACCTAGCCAATTGCTCTCCCCTTGCCCCTTTTTACTTTTGATTTTTACTTTATTGAATTTCATCTTGCTGAATTCAGACCAGTTCTTCAATTTATCAGTGTCACTTTAAATTCTAATCCTGCCCTTCAAGAAGTTTGCAGCCCTCTCCCTAGTTTGGTGTCATCTGCATATTTTATAAGCATATTCTCCAATGGTAGCCAGAAGGCTCTGTGGCTGTGGGAGTCAGTAAGTAAACAAACTAGAGCACTGGACCACTGTAAGGAAACACTGTTCTAGATCTGTAATCATTTTTGTTGTTCTCTTCTGGACTTTCTCCAAATTGTCCACATCTTTCCTGATGTGTGGTGCCAGAATTGGACACAACACCCCAGATGTGGCCTAATCAGCACAGAATGGAGTGGAAGAATTACTTTTTGTGCCATGCTTACAACAATTCTGCTAATACAGCCCAGAATGATGATTACTTTTTTGCAACAGAGTTACACTGTGGATTCATATTTAGTTGTGATTCACTGTAACTCCCAGGATTCCCTTCTGAAGTACTCCTTCCAAGATAATCGTTTCCAATTTTGAATTTTGCAATTGATTGTTCCTCCCTAAGTGGAGTACTTTGCATTTGTCCTATTGAATTTCATCCTGTTCACTTCAGACCGTTTCTCCAGATCATTTTGATTTTTAATCCTAACCTTCAAGGCACTTACAACTCTTCCCATCTTGGTATTGTCCACAAACTTTTTATAGGTGTACTCTCTATGCTATTACCTAAATCATTGATAAATAAGCTGAACAGAACTGGACCTAGGACTGATCCTTGAGGGACTCCACTCAATGTTCCCTTCCAGCTTGAATGTAAACAACTGGTATTTGCTCTCTGGGAGTGGTTTTCCAACCAGTTATCTACTTGTTATATAATAGCTCGATCTAGGTCAGAGTGGGCAATAAAATGGTGGTGGTTCACCAAGGTCAGATGATTGCAAAGGTACTGGTGATTACAGCTCCTGTTGGCCATAGATAGCTGTTCCTGGATAACGGAAGCTGCGAGAAGCAGCATGGATTTTTCCTGCAGCTCCCATTGATTGGGAATGGTGATCCACAACCAACAGGAGCTGCAATTGCCTGTACTTGTGGAGGTGCAAATAAATGTAATGATGGCAGTCTGCCAGGAGCTAACCCTGGTGGACTGGATCCTGTCCGTAAGTTGGTATTTGCCTACCCCTGATCTAAGTTGTATTCCCTAGTTAGTTTCTCTAATGAGTTTATAAGAAGGTCATGCGAGACAGTATCAAAAGCCTTATTAAATGCCAGAGATACTATATCTACCACTCACCCTATCAAGGCTTTTTAGTCTGTCAGAGAAAGCGATTAATTTGGTTTGACAAGATTTGTTCTTAACAGTCCACATGGATTTGTTACTTATCACCTGGGGTGTTTGTAAATTCATTGCTTGATTATTTGCTCCATTATCTTTCTTGGTACAGAAGTTAAGATCATTGGACTTTAATTCCCTTATTCCCCTTGCTCCCTTCCAATCCTCAGGAATCTTCCTGTTTTTCGTGAGCTTTCAAAGATAATCACTAATGTCAATTTTTTCCACATCTTTGAACGACTAAAGTTTTACCGACAAAAGTGGTAGTATAGCCATGGCCTCGGAGAGCCACAAAATTGCATTGGCAATGCACTGCCTTAATATGTGGTCAGCATGCAGACATTTCAGTGGAGCAATGTTCTCACGTTCCTTTGCAATGTGTTCTTAACAAAAGTGTTTTCTGACAAAGTGGTTGTTCTGCTCTACAAGACTGAGAATCATTGTTCCAGTCTGAAATAATATAGTTTCCAAACTTAAAGTATGAGGAATTGCCTGTCAGTAACCCTAGTGGTAGCGGGTGTGTCTAGACTACAGGGTTTTGTCGACAAAGGTGGACTTTTGTCAACAAAACTATACCTGTGTCTACACTACTGCTGAGGTCTATTGATGTAACATCAACAGAACTCGGCAGTTTTGTCGATGGCAGTAAACCTCATTCTGTGAGGAATAACACCTTTTGTCGACAGAGCTCTGTCGACAGAAGGCATTATTGCATCTACACTGTCCTTTGCGTCTACGCTCTCATGTCAACAAAGCGGCTTGCTTGGTCAACAGAACTGGATGTAGTCTAGACGCTCTTTGTCGACAGAAGTTTTGTCGACAGCTTCTCTTGACAAAGCCTGTCGACAAAACCCTGTAGTCTAGACGTCCCCTCAGTGTTGAGTTTATAAACTTCCAAAGCATGACTGTATTATGAAAAGTGAAGAGAGGAAAAAGCATAGCTTTGCCAACATGTCTGAGGTAGAGGATGTAAACATACGTCTGGCACTATTTGTCCTTTTTCCTTGCTGGTTTGGAAAGATTACAAAAGTTTGACTGTTCTTTGAAAATGACTGAAATGGAGACAGAAGAAATAAAGATGATTTCTAATGCAGGATAAGACTTTTGGAGCAGCTGGAGAAACTGTTGTTGTTGAAGAACTTCTTGTAGGAGAAGAGGTTTCTGTAAGTATGCTTGTTTTCCTTTTAAGAATTTGGTTTACAGCTTACTAAAGGAACATTTAGGTATATACTCTACCAAGTTATTTAGAAGATATTGTACAAATAACCAGTATCAGTACCTGAATTCTTGTTAATACTAAGACCCCTTTACACCATTCTGGTAGTATAGAGAAGTATGCAATAGATAAATGTCTCCTCCCACTTTAAGGCCTCTTAATGCTGGCAGATTGGTGTAAACAGACCTTAGTGTAGATGAGAATTCAGGCCCAGGTTCTAAAACGGGGGTGGGCAAAAGGACCTGCACAGGCCAGATCCAGCCCTCCCAAGTGGGTGGATCTGGCCTCCAGGCCAATTAGAGCCTGGGGGTGGGGCAAGCGCATAAAGTTTCCTCCACCCTGCCAGGAACATGTAGCGCTTGGAAGCACCAGGCGCTCCTAGTGTGGCAGGAGGAGGCTTTGTGCACGCCCCCGTCCCCAGGCCAATCATGGCCTGGGGACAGGGAGAGCGCACAAAGTTTCCTCCACTCTGTCCCTGCCCTGTGAGCAGCGCACGGCGCTTAAAAGCACCACGTGTTCCTGGCAGGGCAGGAGAAGACCTTGCCCCCTGTTTGGCCCAGGGGGCGGGGGATGTGGGAAGTCTGCTGCCAGCTAGGGGCATGGACACCTAGGAGGAACCTGTGGGACTCAAAGGCTCTCCCCCACCCCCAAGACCAATCATGGTCTGGGGGTGGGGAACCTGGAAGTATTCCAGAGCAGTTGGGGGCCACTTCAGAAATTTTTGAAGTGGCCCCTGGCAAAAATGTATTGCCTATCCCTGTTCTAAAAGGATCACATGGTAACTTTGCATTAACTCTGCGACGTAGGAAATGTAAGTATGGTCTTGGATTTCTCACTCAGGGCTAAAATAGGGTTATACTAGATGAGGCATACTTGAGCATTGGAGGGTTATGTGATATATATATATATATATATACACACACACACACACACAGTGACAGTTGAAATGTGAAAAATAGATAGCACTGTTTTATTGACCAGTCTTACCGGAGGCCACATCAGTATCCTACCCTGCCTGAAGAAAACAGAACTATAGATACCAGTTTGTCATCTTCTTTAGAGTGACATGGTCTGGAACTAAGAGGAGCTTAGATTGGCGAATCTCTCAAGTTAAGTATGTACAGGATGATACTCTTATGTTAGTCAAAAGGGCACCAGAGGATTTTAGTACAAGAACATGAAAACTTACTTGAAAGTTCTTCAAGGACTCTAGTAACTCAGCCAGAGGTCCTGGGTCTATTGGAGGAGTGGATGAGTGAACTTCTGTGGCCTGCTGTGTGCAGGAGATTCAGACTATGATCAGGGATAGTCCTTTCTGACCTTAAGAGTCTATGAAAAAGAAAAATTTTACTTGGTAGGTTATTTTAACAATCATGGGTGAGTACAATTTTGTAGGGTCTGAGAGGCGTATGCTGTTCGGCTCTTTTTGCTTACTGTTAATATTATCCCCTGCCTGCCTGTGAATGGAATTATAAATGATTGTTATAAGCATTCCTGAGCTGGCAATATTTGTAGTTGCCCAAGCAGTGAGTGACAGCACTTAATTTCCAAAAAAGACTGGTGGAGGAGCTCTCTGAAGACACTATCAATCATGAAAGCATATGGTAGCTATGTAACTTGTCAGTCTGTTTTTTGTGATCAGGGAAGAAGGAAAAATAATTATTTAATGTTTCCCTTCCTCAGGAGTAACCTTTGCAATGGAATATTCCAGTTGCTGTTTGCATCAGTGTGCCGTCTCAGTGCTGTTCCTACAGAATAACTTGTACATTGGGGTTCTACAGAGCAAGTTGATATTTCTTGGGGGGAGGAGAGGGCAGCAGGTGCTTACAGTGCTAATGTGCGACTTATATTACTAGTGGGGTGGAGTTTATTGCTTTTACATTAGGTTTTATAAGCCTGAAAACTGGGCTTATGTTCACCATTTCCAGTGGTCCTTATTTTAATCAAATCCTTTTGGGTATTTAACTGTTCATGTTTCCTTACAGTGCCTGTGCTTCACTGATGGCCTCACTGTTGCCCCCATGCCACCAGCCCAGGATCACAAACGGTTAATGGATGGAGACCAAGGCCCAAACACTGGAGGAATGGGAGCTTATTGCCCAGCACCACAGGTGTAATACGATATTGGGAAGCTGTTTTGGTGAAAGTTTTAATATTAAAAGTGTGTGTGCACTCTTTGTTCTACCAGTGCACTCTTTGTTCTACCATGGCAAGCTGGATTTGAGAGAGAGCTTATAGCAGAGAGATTGTGTTTCATTGTGCTTGATTTTCTAATTGTCTTGCACTAAAAAGGGGTGCATTCTTAGTGAATTACATTTTAATTGTGAAGATGGAAGTCTTTGTTTTTTGCCATATTACATTTTCTGCCAGTGTTTAATGTTACAAAATCCTGGTCACGTGTACCCAGTGGTTAAAGATCAAATTTTTCTCTTCTCTAATTTAGAATGATTGGCTTTTGCCTTCTGTCTAATTATGATTTGGTCTGTTTGACCAGTAACTGTTATTTGCAAAGAGATGTGTTTTTACTTTCTTTTGATTGATATTCTGGTTAACCAACTTCATTTTCCGTTGTAAAAGTAAATCTTGTATCACAACGTAGTTATGTTGATTTTATTTGACAGTGATTCAGACAGTAATGATTAGTTTGTTCGAGCCTTGGCTTTTCTTGACAAACCGTTCCACTTCCTGCAAACATTTACACACATACTTTATCAAATGAGGGGTTCCAGTGATGCCAATGAGAGAACTCACATGTGTAGAGTTAAGCATATGTGTAAATGTTGTAGGATCAGAGCCATAATGTGCTATAGATTCTTTCTAAATAGATATTTGCTTTCTCTCATTGAAATATGTATCCTTACAATACTGCTGCATGGCTCTTAAAAGCAATGAAAAACAAGCATTTGCTTGATACTAGGAATAATACATTAATTTTTAATATTTTATTAGATTTCCAAAGATTTGTTCCAAAAAATCAAAGAGACTATTCTTCAGAAAACGGTTGATGGGATGAAAGAAGAGGGCGTCCCTTATATCGGTAGGTGGAAACTTTTAGTTTTGTTAGATGTTTGTGTCTTTAAACAGCAAACATAATTTACTCCCTCTTTCTTCCCGCCTACTTTTTCAGTACAGGCCCAGTCCAACTCCCACTGAAGTCAATGGCAAAATGTTGATTTCTTTGGGGTCTAGAATTGGTTCCAAAGACTTGATCCAAAGCCTATTTTAGTCAATGATTTCTTTCTGTTGAGTCCTATGGATCAAGTCCCAATCGAGTAGAGTTCGAGTACAGATATGAAAACCGATATCCCCAGCTCATTTTTGAGAATATAAAGGCAGATATGAATACAAATTTTGTACCTGCGCAGGGCTCTACAAATGATCAAGTATTGTAAGGGCAACACTTTCAAATGTAGTTTGTAAAGTTGGGTCCACAATTATTTGTGCCTGTAATGTTAACTGGGCAATCACTCATGAGTGCGGGTAATGGAATTTATATCTTTCTGCACATATTGGTTAACTGCATGCCTTCTTTCTATTATTTACACCCACAAGAGATTGCATTAGAAGAACAGTAGCCACAAATAATTGTGGACAAAATTCTGCAGGATATTTTGGAGAATTTTTGCCCCAAAATGTATGTATGTATATGAATGTATGTTTGAAATTAAGCTCTAGAAAGAACATAATTTGGCAGCCCCCTAATAATAGCACTGCAAATGCAACATTCATTATGAACAGTTTAAAAACAAATGGCCAGTACAGTCACTTAGACTAGTTTTAATGTGGTTTGTCATTTTAGGTGTGCTGTATGCTGGATTAATGCTTACCAGTGATGGGCCTAAGGTTCTAGAGTTTAACTGTAGGTTTGGTGATCCCGAATGTCAGGTGAGTGACTTTAAAAGTTTGACACGGAAAAAATATCACACTTTTACCCGACCTTCTTTCTTTATTTGCACTGATTATAAATAAGGAAAACTTAATCAAAGAAAAATTCAATTTTGAGTTTCATATAGGAATTTCCTCCCAAATCATTAATTAGTATTCTTGCATATTATTAATTTCTGAACAAACTATAAATTAATTGCTGGACAAACTATTTGAGTGCTGGACAAACTATAAAGTTGATTCTCAGACCTATGCAGTTTATGAATGGCATATCTTAATGCTAGCTTTCTTTATTTTCAGTTTTAGGCATCATATATCTGCATTGCATAAAACATGAGTCTTTAGAAGGGATGTAAATTTACATTACAGTATTAACATTTTGAAGAGATATTGTCAGGTTGAATGTTATATAGTACCAGATTGTGAACCCTTTATTCACACTGGTGAGAAGTTACATATGTATTCTCTTTGGCTTTTCTTGTATTAGTGACCAGACACTCATAAAAGCATATTATTTTATAAACAGATTTTCCTTGAGTTAAAAATATTATTTTTAGTAACTTAGAGCTCACTGTTAATGCCTGATTGTTTACTTATTTTTCATGCCATATGGATGACATAAATAAACCATCCACTTTTGCTTTTGTTAATATTCAGTCTCTAGTTAGTCTCATTTTCTGGTTGTTGTGTATAATCAGGCCCGCCAATGGGGAGGACAAAGAGGGCAGTTTCCCCGTGGCCTGGCTATTCAAAAGGGCCCAGCCATCACTGTTGTTACTTTGGAAGCAGCCAAAGCCTCGGGCACTTTAAATTGCCACTGGCACACTTTGGGGTGAGGATGCACTGTGGTTTGGGCAGCACTGATGGCTGTCTGTCCCAATCCCGCCACTTCCATCCAAGACCAAGCCCCTTCTGAAGATGTGAAGTAGGCCCTCCTCTTTCCTTACCCAGGGACCCAATGAGACTATTGGCCCTGCTAAGTATAGTGTTGTGAGTAGCAAAATCTTTGGGAGAGTATTTACTTTGTTAAATTTCAAATACATATTTTTTTTGTTAAGCTTTGTTTAATAAAACCTATGTTCCTAAAAAGTCTAAATTTGGAGCTTAATTCAACCTTAGTTTCTTTTTAACTTGTCTACATTTTGTAGGTAATTCTTCCACTACTGAAGAGTGATTTGTATGAAGTTATACAAGCAACCATCAATAGAAAGCTGTCTAGCTCCATGCCTGTCTGGTCTGAAGACAGTGCAGCTGTGACTGTGGTTATGGCCAGTGAAGGTTATCCAGGAAACTATGCCAAGGGCTTGGAAATAACAGGTAAAGATATCAGGAGTAACTATGCAAGAAGTTTTCCCTCTTATGCTTTGCACAGATTAATCTATGAAATATAAAGGTTTGGAAACTTCAGAGTTTATAACTCTTCATCAGCAAGAGACAGCTGAATTTTAACTTCCCACAGTTAGATTATTAGCTTTCATTAGTACAATATAATGTCTTTCCTTTCATATAAAGTTCAGAATAGGGAGAAAAAATTAATTCTTTACTCTGTAAGCATTGCAGCTACAATCAGAGCATTTTCCAGTATACTCTTTTTCTAATCATCCTATGTTTTTCAAATATAGATCTTCTTGTTGAGGTGCTGTGAAACCTAAGGATAGCACTAAATTCATCACTTCCTATTATGCCCTTTTGGTGTTCATGTATTTTGGTCACTCAAGGTCATAACTAGCAGTAGAGTAATACAAAGTGCAACTAAAAATTAAATTTGTCCCATGGCATTTAGCTAACACATTGGCTGTCCACAGAATGTAGATTCTTTATATTTATTTAGTTATCAGAGTAGTTATATGGGCCTACACAATCAACCCTTATTCTTGACTGGATTTCCTAGGGACTACTGGAATATGAATAATTAATAAGTAACAGATCAAAGTATTTTAAGTGACTGATTCTTTGTATTTATATTGTAAAATAACTTACAGGATTTTCTAAGGCTAAAGAACTAGGGTTGGAGGTGTTCCATGCAGGCACAGCAGTAAAGGATGGCAAAATAGTGACTAATGGTGGAAGAGTCCTTACGGTAACAGCGATCAAGAAAGATCTGATGTCAGCACTGGAAGAAGCCAACAAAGGAGTAGCAGCCATACAGTTCAAGGGTGCCATTTACAGAAAGGACATTGGTTATCGGGCTATAGCTTTCCTCAGACATTCCAGGTATATATCTGAAGGCACTGCCTGAAATTCATTAGTGAAATTAGTGCTGCCTGAAGAGATCAAAAGACGTCACTAATTCAAGGGATCACCTAACTTGGTGTTTCCAGCTAGCTTCTAATATGATGAGATGCAAGTAGCAGTTTATGGTGTCCCTGTGAATGATCTCAGCCAAAGAAGCAGGGACTGAATAGGTTTGGAAACTAAATTACTCTCTCAACCTAGAGCTGATTCTTCCAGGCCTGTGGTAAACAACACTGACAAGCCAGTTTAGGGTAACTTGCACTGCTCCTGCCTGTACAATGCCTGTTCTGTGCATGGAGGAGTTCAGTTTCCAAAGCTTTTAAATAGTAGCTCTCCTGCCCATTAGTCTAATTTTAGAGTCATCTCATCTGTTTATGGGAGAAATGCTAGTGGATTGTTTTATTGGATTCATTTTTAGTTTTAAAATGTGTGTATAAGAAGCAAGCAACTTTGGAACTCCTGCTTTATTGGGTATTGATGAACAGCCAGCTTAAAATGTGTAATTTTGTTTTGAAATAACTCTCTGAGATACAGGATTAATAATCCTGTGAAGTTGGGGTTTTTTGTTTTTCTTTTGGGCGTGATCTCTTTCTATTCTAGGCTGTTGCTTTTGGTGTAGTCAGGAGCCCTTTGGAATCGTTTTAACTGATGTTACCAAATATGGAGCCTTTTTTCCCAGTCTGCCTCTTCCCCAGTTCATTAACAACATAACTTTTCCTAATGAACCATTATGCAAAGTATAAGAGACTGTGTTAGTAAAAGTCTCTATTTTGCTACTAGTGTACCGTTTGATTAGTATATTGTAAAGCCATCTATGTATGATTATTAAATAAACTAAATTTGAAACGGTGCTTGTATTTAGTCTTATTTTTCCTGCAAATACAGTTCGCCCCTTGATAATTTGTTTAATTATGTGAAAGTGTCTAATTGGTATAAATGCTTTACTAAAAATTATAATCAAATATTCGTATTATATGAGAAAAGAGCATATTTGAATAGACATTAGGAGCCTGCCCCCCATAAAGCATTGAAACTTAGGGTGCCTGGACAGAGAGCAAGCATGGCTGGAATGCTTCAGCATTCTTAGGATCCCTGAATCACGTGTCAACCCTTTGTGAACTAGAGTAGGAGTACTGGAGGCCAGACTGACGCCTGGCAGCCCCAAGTACCAGGAGAACAAATAGGAGATGCAAAGCAACCTCTGCCCCCATCTTGGGTCCGGTGTTGAGCACAGCTTATAAGGCCAATGATTGAGCCCATAAAGTGCAACAGTAGTCTCTTGGAACTGATTCAGGTGCTTTGCTCCTGGGGGGATAGCTCAGGGGAGGCTCACAACATCTGACAGAATCAGTCCTCTGGCATTAATGTTTCATTTCATGATGCAACCAGAGCATTTTCTGAAAATAAAATACTCTCCTTTTCAGAAAAATAAAAACAAAATCCAGCATATATTTAGGAAGTGAAAACACTTAATGTTTCTCCTTTTGTATGTTTGTGCATGCATCGTGCATACAACAGTAATGTGTGCATGCAGCTGTGTTTGTAGGGAATTTTTCTTAAGTTTCTGAGAAGAGGGCTGTTGTTGTGATAGGTCTCTGTTCCTCAGTCCATGTCAGGCGTCACCTTGAGAATAAACCTAATACTGAATCACTGAAATTAGAGAGGTGAAATATCTCTTAGGCCACCTCATCCGTACCGTGAGTTGCTCAGTCTAATACATGTGCTACAACTGAGCATTAAAAGCAACTATAATGACCACCCAAAAATAAAATATCCTTCCTGTCAATATGAAACTAATAACTTATATCCCAGTTAGTAACATACACAGTCCAATTTGTATATATGTATGTATTAACTGAATTGGAGTACAAGTTATAACCAGATAGTGCCTTTTGCAAAGATTGTGTGTGTGTACTATAATGGGCATTTTTAAAACCATCTTGTGCTAGAAACTTTCTTTAAAAGTAAGCATGTTTATTTTTAAAAATGCACTATACTTTGTGCTGCTAGCACCCAAATCATTAAAGAAGGATTAATCTTAAATTGACATTGAAGGAACTATTTTCGTAAAATAGTGCTGGTCCATGTAATAACCTTCATTCCGGAGTGCTATTTTGAGCTTTTTCGTGTGAGCCCCTGAGCATGCTTGCCTGATCCATAAAAGAATGCTTAAGCAAATGTTTCATTTTTGGCATGTGAATAATCTAGTTGAAGTAGTGGAACAATGTCTGCAGAACTGAACCCCTTATCCTTCCTTTGAATGTCATATACGTGTGAACTGTATTCTGTGTAGTCAATGGCTTAAGTTCTGGTCTCTGATGCTGGTCTTATAATGCCTAAGAGCTTTCATATATCATACAACACAGTTCTTACCCTTGGCTCCTATTTTCAACTATGTACATGAGCTTGTGCAGTGCAGTGCATCAGTCTTTGAGTTGGTCTGAAAGTGCTGTATGGATGATGTTGTATCATTACTGCTGCATTCTTTCATGCTGTTCTAATAATGCTTACAGAGTATGCTACATTAGTGAAGTACTGTGCAAACATGAAAGGGACGATGGTAGTAGGAAAACTGCCAGAGATTTCACCAGGGCCAGATTAAGTTCTACATAGTTAATCCTTACAGCATCACAGTGTAGGAAATTAAATACTATAAAAGGCAAACATATTTATTCATTAGTAATTGGTTACTTCAAACTTCTTTTTTTAACGATCTTGTAGAGGCCTGACTTACAAAAACAGTGGGGTAGACATCGCAGCTGGCAATACCTTGGTTCAGAAAATTAAACCCTTAGCGGCAGCCACCTCAAGACCAGGTAAGCTTAGATTTATACCATTATTCCTGGTGCATTCAGTTCTTCACAACTGTAAATGTCATTCAATCTTTACAGTGATGCAAATATGTGTCCTGCATTGAAAATTGACCAGACACCCAACAGATACTTTTTGTGGGATCATTCCTCATTTTGAGTATTACCTAGAGGTGTAGCATATTCTCAACTCCCCTTAAGTTCAGCGGACATGAGGGTGCTCATGCATCACCCTGGTTTATTCTCTAAATTTAAGATACGTGAACAAAAATCTCACCACCAGCTAATATTTTTAAGTAAATATGTTATCAATTTGGGTAAAGTATCAGAGAGATGTACTTATCTGGTCAAAACCTTCATATGCTGTTTTCAGAAACTTGCCTTAGTGGTGGTAGAATGAAGTGTTGTCTTCAAGGAAAACAGCTTTTTTTTAATTCAGCTTTATTTCAATTTTTGATATAGCTTTGTATCTTTTCAAAAGCTGTGAATAATTTTCATTATTAATGTTATTTTTTTCATTGTTGCTCCTTTCATTGTTAGTTTTTTAATGTGTGCCAGTGTTAACGGCTGGAAGCCAAATATACATGTGCTTGAGTGTAATAATACACTGTAGGTAGACACATTATAAAATGGGTGTTGCATCTCAGTGGGAGGGAAAATGACCTGTTGGCAACTTTCTTCAGGCAGGAATGGGTTTCACACTGATACAGCAATTTCTTGTCTGCTTTTATAGATAGCTTTTAAGTACAAAAAGGGACAAATAGTCTCTTTAATTATTATTCAATTAATTATTGCATATGCAATCACAAAGCTTATGTAATTATTACAATATATTCTAAAAGAGTAGGGAACTCCAAGCTTTAAGTCCAGAGAAGCAGTTGAGCATGTGTTTTGGTTTGCTGGATTGGAGTCCAACTGGGCTCAGTTCTGGGCTCAGTTCCAATGAGAATTCCATTTGGATGACTTGTAGGAATGGCTCTTAAGTGGTGAGAAATCTTAAGTATACCAGACTATCAGTCAGCACCTTTCACTAACACCAAGAGTAACATTTGCAATGCCTAAGTCAACGGTGGGGAACCTAAGGCCCGGGGGCTGGACGCGGCCCCTGGGTTAGCTAGATCTGGCCCCCTATTGGGGAGCGCGCACTGGCACTCCAGCCCCCACGCACTGCCTCCCCGCAGCCTCCAGCTCCTGATTTATTTTTCTGTGGGTCAACTGCCCCCAACCCAAAAAAGGTTCCTCACACTTGGCCTAAGTCCTGTTGACTTTCTGTGCAAAGGGGTTGTAAAATGTGACCAGTCAGAACAGTAATGGTTTTCAGTCACTTTGCACATATTTTGCATGGGCATAAGCAATTACACAAGGTGTAGGGCAGCAAACAGTCAAGCCCAAAGGACACAAATGTAGTTTACAGATGTATGTTTTGCAGTGTTTTAATAATCTCAATGCTTTTATTTATACTCAGATATTGCTTTGGAAATTTGATAGCATATTACTGTAGTTGGTATATTCCTCCCCGCAAAAAACGCCACAACACTTTTGTCATTTTTATCAACAGCATAAACACTTAGGATCAAAATTTATGCTTGGAGAATTTCCCCAATGGCCCAATCACAATTAAAAATGAATTGTAGGGTTAGATTGTAGAGAGAGTCTTGTGATCCCTTCTGTCAACTAGTGCTTTTGGAAGAAATTCTTCAGTGGGTGCAGGATCCCATGGGAATAAAAGTTTAATTCCCTTGTCTATATTTTTTTCTGGTTGGCAGGCTGCAATGCAGAGCTTGGAGGATTTGCTGGTCTCTTTCACTTGAAAGCAGCTGGTTACAAAGATCCTATTTTGGTGTCTGGAACTGATGGTGTTGGAACAAAACTCAAGGTAACTGGAAACACCTGTGCAGGAAGGAATGTCCTGATTAAAAGCAAAATACTGTCCATGTCAATTCCAAGGTTATTAATAGGAGATGCTTGTTGTGTTCAGAAGAATATACGCTCATACTTTTAAAAAGCTTCCTCTTTCTGACCCCTGTTCAGCTAAGTACATGACTAATAAGCAAATGAGAAGCCCTATTGAAATCAGGGATTGCTCATGCTTAAAATTAGGCATGTATTTAAATACCTTGCTAAATCAGTGCCTCCATCTCTACCACTCAGTGGCCAATCACCAAGCCAATCAGACTGTATAATGGCCATTTTATATTTGCACAATGATTGGACCAGTTCACTCAGAGTGCATTTTTTACTCCATAATTAAATTAAAAAAGAACATTCCCTAAAATACTATCTTAAGACAGATTCATGGAGCGTTGCTAGTTTCCAGCTGATTATCTGTTCTATAGTTTTTTATCATTCTGCTGTAGAGATGTTAATGTGTTACTGCATGAATTAGAGTTTTTGCTGGGTCTTTCAGTTATTTTTGTTCACACCAGAGAAATTTTTTTGAGCTAAGCTCCCAGCTCTGAAATTTAAACACTAGGGCCATGTTACCTACATTCTCAAAACTCTGTTGGGAATCTTTGGTGCACAAATAATTGAGGTGTAAATGAGTGATCATCCAAATCTCTTTACTTTCATAAATGTTTATTATTATTAAAATCAAAGAATTCTATGTCCAACTCATCAGCAGTTGAAAAAGCTGGAAATATAAATGTATGTTGAGATTCAAAGTGGTTGAAACTATAGTAAAGAGCAGACTTGTCAGACACAAAGATGAACATAATTTGTGGGGAATAGTCAACATGTTTTTTTTTTTTTTTGTAAAAGGAAATCATGCCTAACCAATTTACTAAAATTCTTTGAGGCAGTCAACAAGCATGTGGCAAGGGGGATCCAATGGATATAGTGTACTTAGATTTTCAGGAAGCCTTTGCTTAAGAGTCTTTGGTGAGGGACCTTGACAGAGTAAGCTGTGATGGGATAAGAGGGAAGATCTTTTCATGGGTTGGTAACTGGTTAAAATATACGAAACAAAGGGTAAGAATAAATGGTAAGTTTTCAGAATGGAGAGAGGTAACTAGTAGTGTCCTCCAGGGGTCTGTACCAGAACCAGTCCTATTCAACATATTCATAAATGATGTGGAGAAAGGGTGGGTAATCAGTGAGGTGGCAAAATTTGAAGATGATACAATATTGCTCAAGATAATTAAGTGCACAGCAGACTGCAAAGAGCTTCAAAGGGATCTCACAAAACTGGGTGACTGGGCAACAGACGGGCAGATTAAATTCATTATTGATAAGTGCAATGTAATGCTCATTGGAAAACATAATCCCAACTATACGCATAAAATTATGGGGTCTAAATTACCAATCAAGAGAGAACTCTTGGAGTCATTGTGAATAGTTCTCAGAAAACATCCACTCAATGTGCAGTGGCAGCCAAAAAGAGCAAACAGAATGTTGGGAAGGGATAGATAATAAGACTGAAAAGATCATAAGAACATAAGAACGGCCGTACTGGGTCAGACCAAAGGTCCATCTAGCCCAGTATCCTGTCTACCGACAGTGGCCAGCACCAGGTGCCCCAGAGAGGGTTGACCGAAGACAATGATCAAGCGATTTGTCTCCTGCCATCCCTCTCCAGCCTCTGACAAACAGAGGCCAAGGACACCATTTTATCCCCTGGCTAATAGCCTTTTATGGACCTACCCTCCATGAATTTATCCAGCTTCTCTTTAAACTCTGTTATAGTCCTAGCCTTCACCGCCTCCTCTGGCAAGGAGTTCCACAGGTTGACAACACGCTGTGTGAAGAAGAACTTCCTTTTATTAGTTTTAAACCTGCTACCCATTAATTTCATTTGGTGTCCTCTAGTTCTTCTATTATGGGAACTAATATGGGATCATAATGCTGCATTATAAATCCATGGCACACCCTCATCTTGAATACTGTCTGCTGATGTGGTTGTCTCATCTAAAAAAAATTGGAATTGAAAAAGGTTCTGAAAAGAACAACAGAAATTATTAGGGGTAGGGAATGGCTTCCATATGAGAAGAGATGAACAATACTAGAACTTTTCAGCTTGGAGCAGAGATGACTAAGGGGTGAAGGATATGATAGAGGTCTATAAAATCATGACTAGTGCAGAGAAAGTAAATCAGGAAAGTTATTTACTACTTCCCATAATGTAAGAAGTAGGTGTTACCAAATGAAATTAATAGGCAACAGATTTAAAAGAAAGAAAAGGAAATATTACTTCACAAAATGCACAGCCAACCTGTGGAACTTCCTATTGGAGGATGTTGTGAAAACCAAGATTTTAATAGGGTTCAAAAAAGAACTATATACATTCATGGGGGATAGGTCCACCAATGGCTTTTAGCCAGGATAGGCAGGAGTGGTATCCATTCCCAACCCTGATAAACGGAGGCTAGGAACAACAGGGAATGGATCACTTGGTGATTACCTGTTCTGTTCATTCCCTCTGGGTTCTGGTGTTGGCCACTATGAGAAGACAGGATAGTGGGCTAGATAGATCCAATATGGCCATTCTTATGTTCTTATGCTAATTTTTATTTTTAAAGTGAAAATAATTTGAGAGTTTAGAGAAGGAAAGCCATCAAACCTATTTTCTTATTGACTCAGAGTGATGTTATACCATAGACACCAATTTTGTGGGTGTTCCCTAAGTGGGTTTAGCACCCACTGGCAGCGAGCTGCCCACCACCATCCCAGCATCTCCTGTCTGCCACCACACCCCACCACAATCACCTGATTTACAGAATGCAAGAGGTGCTGGGAGGGAGAAGGAGGAGCAGGGACAGGATGTGTTTAGGGGAAGAGGTGGGACAAGGTGGAGTGGGACCTGTGGCGGAGCTGGGGGTTTGAGCATGTGCTAGGTCCAAAGGAAGCCTGTGCCTGTGTGTTATCTATCTTTTATGTATACCTGCATGATCTTTTGAGGGTCCTTCCTTTCCTCGTCCCTCCCTTTCTCTGATGGTTAATGTGGATTGAAACAGAATGGGGAACTCTTCGTATCAGGATATGCATGTGGGAGCACTCCTTACCCAAACCAGAAAAAGGCAGCTACTAGGAAGCTGTGCTCTGTCCACTTCTGCCTTTGAACCCTACTCTCCTTACTCCTATTTCATGTTAAATCCACCTATTGTATCTTGTCTGATTTTTAGATTATAAAAAACAACAATTAGTCTGATAGCACTTTATAGACTAACAAAACATGTAGATGGTATCATGAGCTTTCTTGGGCACAGCCCACTTCTTCAGATGACCGAAGTGCTGAGTTTAGGATGTGCAGACCCAAAATAAATAGGAGAGAAGGAGAGGAAAAAAAAGTGTGGGGGGGAGAGACAGGGAGCAGAGGGTATAGAAAATAGGGGGGTTAAGGGAATCAGTGAGTATCTGAAGATTGGGTAGTTAAAATGAAGCAAATAAGAATCAAAGTCAATTGATAGTATCCTTCCTGACATAGGAACTTATCTATAGAGCCAAATATATAGAGAAGCATTGAAATTCGAGTTCATCCACAAATTCAATTTGCATGCTAATGGATTCAATTGTGATGAAGGCTGGTTGGGGCACTATCTACTTAATTTTCAGTAGAGGTGCAAACAGCTCTTAGTATCCTCCCTGACAGGAATTTACATGATCAACTGACTTTGATTCTTATCTGCTTCGTTTTAACTACCCAATCTTCAGATAGTCACTGATTCCCTTAACCCCCCCTATTTTCTATACCCTCTGCTCCCTGTCTCCCTCCCCCCCGCCCCTTTCTTTTTCTCTCCCCCCCCCCCTTCTCTCCTATTTATTTTGGGTCTGCACATCCTAAACTCAGCACTCTGATCATCTGACAAAGTGGGCTGTGCCCACAAAAGCTCATGATACCATCTACGTGTTTTGTTAGTCTATAAAGTGCTATCAGACCAATAGTCTGTACAGAAAAAAACAACAAACTCGGCTACCCCCTGAAGTTTTAGATTATAATTTTTTGGGGGCAGAACCATCTCTTATGCTGTGTTTGTGTAGTACCTGCCACAATGGACTCCCTCTTTTGATTGCATATTCTACATGCTACTGCATTACTATTATTGCTATTAATAATGTCGTGACTCAGTTTTTTGGAACTTGTTCAGTCATTTATATTCTTTTGCTTAGGAAATAGGGGAAAAGTTTCTTGTACTTGTTGTACTTGGTCCAGAAAAGCGTAGTCCCAAGAATCAAATGTTGTAAAGTCCTGCTGTTTCACACTCACTACATCACTGTAGCTGACATGCTAAAATCCACCCATGTCTCTTGTTCATAGCAAGGGATCGTGGGCATGCTGTGTTAACTTCCATGGGAGCTATGAGCGGTTAATGCCTTGGAAATCAATCTCAGTAGTGTCAGCTCTCACAATTTAATCACAAGTCTTACAATGTTTGATACTTAAAGCCTCAGTTCAGGGAGGCAAGGGATTATATTAAAGATTACTAATGTTAATCTTTACAAATTTTATAGTACATTTCTAGCCCTGATGGTATAATTTGAAAATGCAACCTGAATGTTTGCGTTCTTAGTTTTGAATCTTTAGGTTACAAACAGCCAAACTGTATTTGTTTTAAAATTATGTGATTAATTATACTTTTTTAAGATTTGGAGGTGGCAGTACAGCAAGCTGCTTATTTAGGGGTCTGAGTATGGACATAGGCACCAAGATTTAGACACACGACCATTTTGGCATTAACCTCTCTTTGTCTCAGGTTCTTCAATCTACCAAAATGGGGTTGATAATATTCTTTCTCCACCAGGTGCGTGCTGTGGCTCTTAACACATGTATATTTGCAAAATGCTATGAGATCCTTTTATATGAGTTGCTCTAGCAGTGAAATGAACAGGTTGAACCTCTCTAGTCCAGCGCACACTGGTCTGGCAACATCCGTGATCCAGCATGATTTTAGTTAGCCATATGACCACTTATCATGGGGGTGTCGTCAATTTTTTTAAGTCTTTCTCAATTTTATTTATCATTCATTCTCTGTCCCAAAAAAGCTTCTGTCATTTCTTGAAATCTAGTGGTCTGTGCATTACTTATTGGTGGTCTGGGGAGATTGGGATGGTCATATGATTCTTCCTTGTTTTCAACTGCTACATTGCACTAAAGAAACCTGAAACCTTTTACTTTTTTTTTTTCCCCTTCACGTAAGCAATTGCTATAGTTGCACAGGAATATTAACCAGTTGCCATCGGGAGGAGGAAGTATCCTTGAGAACCACTCTAGTTAGATGTGACTTATACTGTGATTGACATCTCCCTCCCCACAAAAATAAGAGATTTAGATAAAGGATACATCCTAATTTGATGGCACTGACAATATTAGGGGTTTTTCCGAAAGTATCCACTTGAAGTGACATTTGTGCTTTGACATTGTCTGGGAAACATCGCAGCTGTTGATGTGTGTTTTAATTCATACAAAAATTACAAACCGGTCTCTCCCTGTCTTGTTACAGATTGCACAGATGTGTAAGAAACATGACACCATTGGCCAGGACTTGGTTGCCATGTGTGTCAATGACATCCTGGCTCAAGGAGCAGAGCCCCTTTTCTTCCTCGATTATTTTGCCTGTGGGAAACTTGATGTTGGAGTGGCTCAAGCAGTCATTGCAGGAATAACTGAAGCGTGTAAAAAGGCAGGATGCGCTCTCTTGGGTATGAGCACTCCCCTCCTAAGAGGATTTGAAAATTTGTGCACTGCACTTTTTTAAAGCTGTTTTTTAGTGTTTTCTGTCCATGCTGCCTTGAGAGGGGGCCGTGAACCGAAACTTGGTGAGACTGATTAACTGCCTATGCCTTATGAAATGGAGTCTCCACCCACCTTTCTAGCACCTTTGTACTGTTTGTTCACAAATACTGCGTGTAGTTCCAGAGTCGATCTTTTTAAAATGTTCTTTCTCTGTCCCTTTAATTTCAAGTCAAGTCTTGCCCTCCTCGGCTTAGAGAATGGTGAATGAATACATTAAAAAGGAAGCTCCTCAGATTTCCCACGTGGTTTCCAGAATGCATCATGTGATGTTTCTTGAGCAAATGAGTCTCCTACATTGTATTATTCACCAGACCTGTTCAAATCACTAATTTCTCCAGACATTTTGTTACATGAGAGAGCTACTTTTAAACACATCAGGTCTTATCTAACACTAGGCAAAAAAAAGAAGTTACAACAAACTATAACAGCTGTACTGTCAGTTCATCTACATATAGCAACTGTCTCACTTTGAAAGGCTTATTTGTACAAAATGGTCACAACACCTAGGAAAAGGTCTTTAGCTCAAGTATGGGTGAATGTTGCAATCTATAAGCCATAAGCATTGCAGCTGCACTGATTCAGTTAGCCTCGATAACTCCATTCCATAATGCTCTGCCATGTGTTTAGAAGTTACTGAAAAAACCTCTGCTCCCAGTAGCAGTTTTGGGCACTGTGGTATAGACACATTGGAGTGTACTGATACAACCAGGCCTGTAAGGCCTTCTGTGTATGGATGTGCCTGCCTGGTTCTGCCAAGTGGTGTTGCTGTCTGGATACACTAAACTATTGGGAAGAGAGTGAAACAATTGATTATTTAATACATTCAGCATCCTTGAATACAGGTTCCTGTGTAGCATGGCCACACCCCAGAGGGGAATTAAACCTTTGATAGAAGGCACTGTTAAATACCCAACCCAATGACAAAAATCTGTGTGAACAAATGTAAGTATATAGTATTTTAACCCTAATTATCAGAGATCAGGATTTCCTGACATTCCAATTTGCCTATCAGTTTCAACAATAGGAGCTGCAGCCCTGTGACAAATGCTATTTGGTTGGTTTTTTTTTTTTTTGTCTTTTTTTAATATTAGATTTTTTTTTTTAAAACATGGTGCAGTCTACAAGGACTTCTCTCCTGTTTGGACCAGAAGCCATAAACATTGCTTCTGTTTACCCCTGTGCATTCCTTTGCATCAGATTGGAAACACTTTAAAATCGTATGTATATTGATCACAATGTCTTTCACTCTCATTCTTTTTCCTTCCCTGTCCCCTGCAGGAGGAGAGACTGCTGAAATGCCTGGCATGTATCTGCCTGGGGAGTACGACCTCGCTGGATTTGCAGTTGGTGCCGTGGAACGAGAACAGATGCTCCCCCAACTGGAGAGAGTTGCTGATGGGGATGTTGTCATTGGAATAGCTTCCTCTGGAGTTCACAGCAATGGCTTTAGCCTTGTAAGGAAGATTGTAAAAAACTCAACTTTAGATTTCACTTCTCCTTCAGTTGGTGGCTGTGGTGACCAGACATTAGGTACCATCACTAATACAAATATCTCTTCTCATGAAGTATAACATCATGATTGTTTTTCCAACATCTTTTTTTTTTTAATTATTCCACTATTACTTGGCTATATTCTTTCCCTTTTCTCTAAATTAAAAACACTGAAACAAGTAAGGGTGGGAGCAGATGGGTAATAACACTGGTCTATAATATAGAAATTAGAGCATTTTTCTCTTTCACTTCAATTCATTCTACAATACAGTAATTGCTTTCCAATGTCTTGTAGATGGATATTTTTAGGCTTCTTTGATTTAATTCAATGTGCATTTATTTGTATGTTGTAATCCAGTCTTTTTCATTTACATTCACAGGAGAACTACTGTTAACCCCAACTAAAATCTACAGTAAAACTTTGTTGCCTGTCCTTCGTTCAGGGCATGTTAAGGCTTATGCCCACATCACTGGAGGGGGTCTGTTGGAAAATATCCCCAGAGTTCTGCCAGAATCATTTGGCGTGGTTTTAGGTAAGGAAGCAAAATGGACCTAATATTAAAAATATGCATTTGGGGGGCGGGGTATATAGTTGCAGGGATGGACCTGAAAAGCCCATCTCGGGCAGATTCCCTGGCTGCTGCGGCCCCACAGGCCACTCAAAGAGGCTGGCTGCTGGCGCTTGTATGCTTGTCTTTGCGCGGTGTGCACCCCTGGGGCAGGCCTCCGTGCAGTGCTCTTGCCTCCAGCACACTCCTCTCCATTCTCAATGGCTAAAAACTGGCCAATGGGAACTTTCTGGGCTGTGCTTGCAGGCGCACGCAGCAACCCGTCCACAAGGGACATGCCTTTCCGAGATGCACACACTGGCACCAGCAGTCGGCTGCTTTGAGTGGCAGGCCACTCAGCCGCCAGCCAAGAGCTGCCTTGGGTAAGCACCTCCTAGCCAGAACCTGCTCCTGGCACCCTATCCCCTCCCACACCCAACTCCCTGCCCCAGGTCGCAACGTCTGAATCCTCCTGCACCTCTGTCCCAGGTCACAACCCAAAGCCTTTGCACCCTTTCCTACATACCTCCCCCAGGTCAGAATCCTCTCGTGCATTCAAACCCCTTCCCAGATCCTGCATTTCCTGCACCCCAATCTCCTGTCCTAGGTCACAACTCCCTCCTTCACCCAATCTCCCTCCCATACTCCCTCCTGTACCCAACTTCTGTATCAGACCCCATACTCCCTCCATTAATGCAATAGACAAATGTGGCCCTTGACCACTTAACAAATTCTTGGAGTGGTCCTCCATCAAAAATTATAGCCCACCTTGGTACAAGGTAAACCCATACTTTCCATTTGCATTTCTAGAACACCATTCATTTTTATTAAATCTTTAAATTGAATTTTCCCTTTCACTCAGAATGCCTATAAAGTACCTTGTAGCCTTAAGATTGGAATCTCTTCTCCCTCGAACTCTATATTTTGGGTTAAGTTTGTTTAAGGAACCAAATGGTTTAAAAACAACCAAAAGAGTTGCTTGCATCCTGTAACATTATGTAAGGTCTGCTCAGTCTAAATTGTTTGAGACCCTTTTGCTGTGCCTTAGAATGCAATTAGTACAGGCAGTACCCGGGTTACGTACAAGATAGGGACTGTAGGTTTGTTCTTAAGTTGAATCTGTATGTAAGTCGGAACTGGCGTCAGCCGCTGCTGAAACTGATCAGTTTCAACCGCGGCTGAATCTGGATGCCAGTTCTGACTTACATACAGATTCAGCTTAAGAAACCCAGGCATCCCCAAGTCAGCTGCTGCTGAAACTGATCAGCAGCTGATTCCAGGAAGCCCGGGGCAGAGCAACTCTGCCTCGGGCTTCCTGT